CTGTGTATAGTATACAATATTTTTCTTTGTGTGTGTGTGTATATATGTGTGATATATATATATATATATATATATATATATATATATGTATATATATATATATGTATGTATATATGTATATATATATGTATATTACACGTGTGTGTGTACATATATATAATTTTAGAAAGCAAAGAGATAATATAAAGGGGGTACAAAGGAAAACAGAGGGTATTATACAACATAATTGTGTATCTCAAAGATAATTACATATAACAGATTTTTTAAAACAGAAAATATTTCTCCCCAACACCCCTTTCATTAGAATTTTTAAGACACTGTCTATAAAGTACAATGATGCTTACTTCTGTTGGGGTACGGTAATATTCAACATTTTAAATTTCAAATTATCTGTCATACAGCTACATTATTGGTTTCGTCATTACTACATACCCAGTATTACATATTTTCGCCAATTCTGCATACTCACTACTACTTTTAACAAATAGGTAATATATCATGAGGTAAAGTCTTTTATATATCTCACAATAAGAAAGGGAAAGATGTTTCTCCTCAGAATCTGCTTCCTTATCTATTTATATTTAAGATGTTACATTTGTAAGATTTACATTCATGATTTTACATTTGTACATTTATATGTCTGTGCTGCCCCAGCCAGCGTTTAAACTGTAGTTAAGTAGAATGGAACAATGTCCTTTCAGCAATTTTCACACACCATTCAATGTGTGTAGCACTGAACAAACAATTTAAAAAACCATATTTTATCCAGGTGCCAGTTTTATTTTTAAAATAAACACACACGGGCTGTGTCTTACGAACAGATGCACACATGTTCATTGGAACCTGTACAGGGCTAAAATTTAAGTTTCAGGCTAAGGAGTCAGAAGTGGATGAGATATTTCACAGGACTGTTCCTCAGGCCCCCATCCACCAAGTTTAAACCACTCCCCTTACCAGCATATTTTTTGAGCTTTAGTATCTTTCTCGGGGGGGGGGGGGATGACTGAGATGTGAATATTTTGCACTGCAGACCAGTGTAGTCCTGAATCCACAATAAAAAGGTAAAGGTTTCCCTTGCTTGAAAGCCAGTCGAATCCGATTCTAGGGGGCGGTGTGCTTATCTCTGTTTCCAAGCCGAAGAGCCAGCGCTGTCCAAAGACTTCTCCGTGGTCATGTGGCTGGCATAAACACTGAGGTGCACGGAACACTGTTACCTTCTCACCAAAGTGGTACCTATTTATCTACCTGCAATTTCTTGCCTTTAAACTGCTAGGTTGGCAGGAGCTGGGACCAGAGACGGGAGCTCACTCCATCACACAGCACTAGGGTCTCGAACTGCCGAGCTACCGACCTTCCAGTCTACATCTCAGCGTCTTAACCACTTGAGCCACTGCGGCCTCTTGAATCCACAACAGACCCCTGCAAAAATATATATAGGTATAAAGAATGTTATTGTTTGTGTGTGTCCTGAAATTTTCTTGGGTAGACTTTCCAATTTTGGGACATTTTTCCAATAGCTGTCATTTTCCCAGATGGTGGATATGGTTATTCCAGTCTTTTAAATTCACATAGTATGCTTATCTTGGTGTCAGCATATGTTTTTGAGGTCAATAAATACACTATTATATTAGTTGGAGAGACAGCCATTTTTCCTGTCAATGCCATTTTGCAAGATAGCAGATATTTTTTCCTCAGTTTTGTAGGATGCTCATATTGGTGTCAACCTGCGTGTTTTTGGGGTTGATAAAACTGAACATACTGTTCCTTTTGTCATAAAAGCAAAATAAAGTATTATTTTTGTAAGATTTGTAATATTTTGGGCAGATGATAAATCTAGAGAAAGTTTTTTAAATGTTTGTAATGCTTGTAATATTAGGTCAAAATGCGGCAGGAGAATTGTTATTTATTCTGCTGCCTTATATAACAGTATTTAATGATTATCTGCTAGTGAAAAGGTCCTCTCATGTACCCTCTGGTGTTTTCAGTGTTAACAGACTACAAGAAATATGATTAACAGAATCTCACATGATACCACTTTACTGACATTGATCGATGTGGAATGATGCTGGTGGAGGGATGGAGCTTAATGAAAAGTCTTTGTGCTATCAGCTGTTTTGGCACTTTCGCAAGAGAAGCAGCAAACCAGACCATTTCTGTTGAGAAACAGGCATGGTGCAATGGGCAATTAATTTAATCTTGTTTGGTTCCTGTTTTGAAGCTCCCATCGGGCCTGAGCCTCACCCCTCACAGTACCCTTTTTTCCTGGCACAACTTTGCACATGGCGGCGGGCAGTTGCCAGGGCCCAAGACTTTGGTGGGGCCCACTGCCACTGACCCTCACCAACAGAGCTCTCCTGCCACCTGTCTGTACTGTGCTCCTAAATGCCCCTGGAGCAACTGAGGAAAGGCATATGGGTGGCAGGCATGCCTGGTAGGAACAGCAGCAGCAGCACTCTCAGCCGCTTACACTGGCCAGTGCTGTCAGGGGAAGGGTATGCAGACAACTGAGCGCAGGTGGTGGGAGGGCTTGCAAGCAGGAGAAGGATGTGTGGGCAGGTGGAGGTTATGCAAGTATGGGGGTAGAGGGGATGCCAGTCTCCAGAATTACAGTTTATCTCCAGATTACAGAGATAATTTCCCCAGGAGAAAATGGATGCTTTGGAGGGTGAACTCTATGGCACTGCACCCCACTAAGTTCCCTGTTCTTCCCAGGATCCATCCCCAAATCCCCAGGACTTTCCCAGCCTAGATCTAGCAACCATACCCCCCACACCCTGCTAGTGGCCCAAGGGGACCTGGCAACCCTGAAGGAGGCCGTAGCGGTGGGCAGATGGGAGCACCAGGCATTGTCTGCTTAGGGTTCCCCCCAAACCTGGAAGCGGCCCTGCTGCGCAGCTACCAACTGAGTCCAAGGCGAACCCCTGTCTGCCATTGGGCCTCAATTTGCTCCAAGTGTGTCTGTCCAAGAAGAGATTCCCACCACTCCCATATTGTTTGCCGGCACACCAACATCTTTACAGGCAGATCTTGATTTTCTTCCGCATTTGGGGGCAAAAAAGATGGCCTGCCCTTGGGCTATTGGTAGCTGTGCGGGCCACTCATGTGAAGAAGCCGAGTTGAAGCACAGTGCATGTTGTTGTTGAAAATGGCCACCTCAGGTAGCAGATTTTGGAATACCACTGAAGAGCAGCAAATTACCAATTTATTCATACCTTTTAAAAACTTTGTGATAAGGTTATTCAGGCTTAGAATTAGATACCGCTTGGATAGGGAAGTATGCAGTTTACACTCCCCACATGATGTCTTTTTAAGCTGTTTTATATTGTGTAAGAAACTTTGGCTGAGAGACTGTGAGGTAACGTTTTTTAAAAGTTTAAATAAACAGTACTGCTCATGTTAAAAAAAACTAAAACGAAGCTGTAATACATATTCAGTCACATGGGAGTAAGTCCCATTGAACGCAGTGGCACTTACACACAAGTAAGCCTGCAGGGAAACAAGAGCATTCATAGAAAAATTGCTCATCAAGAAGAAAGGAACTAGCCCAGCTTGCCAGCCTGTTCTTTGCTAGTTTTCTGTCCGCTGGGATTTTATTTGTACATAAATCTATTTTCAGAAGGCAGCCGTGTCGGTCTGCAGAAGAATAATTAGGTTGGAGTCCAGTGGCACCTGGGAGACCAGCAAGATTTTCGGGGTGTGAGCTTTCAAGAATCAAAGTTCCCTTTTCGTATCTTACGCACTGAAAATCTTGGTCTCTAAGGTACTAGTAAAGGTAAAGGTTTCCCTTGCTCGAAAGCCAGTCGAGTCCAACTCTAGGGTTGCGGTGCTCATCTCCGTTTCAAAGCCGAAGAGCCAGCGCTGTCCGAAGACGTTTCCGTGGTCATGTGGCCGGCATGACTAAACAACAAGGCGCACGGAACGCTGTTACCTTCCCACCGAAGTGGTACCTATTTATCTACTTGCAATTTCTTGCTTTCGAACTGCTAGGTTGGCAGGAGTACTTACTGGACTGGAATCTAGCTATTTTTGACATAAGGTTCCAAAACTGGAAGCCTGCATGGTGCAGTAGTTTAAGAGAGGCCAACTCTAACCTGGAGAACGGGGTTTGATTCTGCAGTCCTCTGCATGAAGCCAGCTGGGTGACCTTGGGTCAGTCACAGCTCTCAGAGCTCTCTCAACCCTCCCCCCCCCCCCCCCCCCAGTTTTGCTGGCCAAAGGAATTAGCACTGAAGTCTGCCAGACAATCTTTGGAGTTCCTGGCTATACCCCACACAGTACCATACAGTAATTAATTAAAATTACTGGGATAGCCCCATGTGGTATAGTTCACTCTACTATCCCCTTCCGCTGACTCCCCTACTCAGGAAGGGAGTGAAGGTGAGGCAGGAGTTAAAAGGCAGAGGCGGTGTTACACTCCTTCAACTGACTGGAAATTCTCCCCCCTGTTCGCGAGAGAAAATACAGGAACTGATTCAACCAGACCGATTCATTAATCAGGGCTAAACCAGCAAGAATATACGTATGTGCCGTTACTGTAATTATAACACACGCAACGCTTTACACTGGATCAATATGTGCCACCGCCATTAGTAAGGCATGCCCCTCTCTCCGAAGAGAGAGCATCACGCAATGACAGCACGCAGACGCATTAATCCGGAGTAAAACCAGTTCGCATTCAGCTGTGCCTCATCGTTTTACGTCTTTTTAAACGCGCCTTTTCTCCGGGGACTCAAGGCAGTTTATACAATTTATGAACTTACCTGCTATAAGAGCACAGGTTTTTCTTTTTTTTAGCCTGGCTTTCTGTGACAGACCCAAATACTGTGTACCTTCTGTGCAATCACGGCACAGCACAACCGCACGGGTTTTTACTCCGGGATATGTAACCGCCCCCCCCACGTATCTTTCGTAAAAGACGCAAAAAACAAACCAGTTTACAGTCTGAGACAATTTTTTTAAAAAACTTTACTCGTAGATGTGGCCGCGAGAACTCGCGAGAAATGAGCGCATATCATCGCCGGGCGCGAGCCGCTAGGTGAGCACCAGGTGTGTAAACACTTACTTCGCATACACAGTACGGAAGACCCGCTATCCAGATGAAGGTGGAGGCGTGCATCTGAGGGGGCGTGGCTTAGTCTGGGTAACGCCTCCTCTTGTTGACGCCCCCCGCTGTTATAGCGACGCCAGACCTCCTACAAAAGAACTGGGGAGCTCGGATTGATTTGATGGGGTTGCTTTGGTTGTTGCAGGTGAGCGATTAACGGGGGGAGGGGGGCTCTCGGAGGGTTGGGGACGGTTCTTTTGCTGAAAAGTGGGTGACTTCTGTTGAGTCAGACCATTGGTCTGTATTGTTGACTCTGAATCAAGCAGTGGTTTCCAGGGATCTCAGGCAAAGGTCTTTTATGTCACCTACTGTTTGATCCTTTTAGTCTGAGGTGTTGGAGACTGAGCCTGGGATCTTCTGTGTGCAAAGCAGACACTGAACCATGGCCCCACCCCTTCACAACAGCTCTGTGAGGTTGGCTAGGCTGAAAGAGAATGACTGGCCCAATGTCAGGCAGCGTGCTTTGTTGCTGGGTGGGGGATTTGTGCCTGGGTATGCCTTATCCAATATTTTCACTCTTTCTATCACCTTTGCTATCAAACACTTGTTGTGTTGTCAGACATTAAATTAAAGCAGCTATCCATAGAAGAGTCTGCCTGTTGTGTCTCTGCATGAGTCCTTGTTTTGGTCTACTTGTGCTGCTCAAGTGTGTATTGGAAGGTTCTGTTGTGCTCTTCTTGCGGTGGGGGGTACGGGGAATAACTAGACCATGTTCCAGAGAAATTTCCTGCCTTTCAGGCATACTGCATGATACATCTCTTTGTTTAGTCACTGGCAAAGGCTTTCAGTCAGATGTATGTAGAAGAATGTCTCTTATGGAAACGCATTGGGTGAGCTTTTCTGAGGGTGAGTGATTCTTTATCTCCTAAACTTTGAAATGGCCTTTTAAAGGTGTAAACACTTTTTTAAGTTCAAAGGACTAAAGAATTTTAGTTCAGAGAAAAAAATGTTCTTTAGGTATTGGACGTTTGGAAGTAGTGACCTAATCATTTTTCAACAGCTGATTCTCAATATTTTGCCCTGCTCTCCCAATATCTTTTCCAACTCTAGCATGTCCAAGAAATGCAGCTGTTGTGGAGTCTCAGGGGCAAGCTGGTGCAGACAAGACTATGCTTGGCAATGGGGCTGAGGCTGGCAGGTAGCAGACTTAACCCCACCCCCAGTGGCATGCCCTACCCTGGTGCACCCCCTTTAATTTCTGCTATGTAAAAAGGAATGGCTACTAATTGTACCTATGGGAGGGAAATAAACCTCTGCTTGGAGATCTCAGTACAATGAGAGCAATGCTTGTTTCTCGTTCCTGATGTGGCCTGACCTTCCCTGACAAGGGTTCTGCAAAAGGGTCAGTGTGTCTTGATGTAAACCAGGGATCACCAACATGGTGCCCGTGAGCACCGTGGCATCTGAGGACAGCTTTTCTGGCGCCTGCCAAGTGCTTTTAGAAAGTAGGAGGGAGGGACTAGGTGGGGCATTTGCCCTGCAGGGCTTCTGGTTGGCTGTGCAAATGAAAAGGCGTCCTGTTAAATGGAACTTCTGCCTGAAATGTGAATTTTGCCATTAGAGTCACGTGTAAGCTCACTCCCTGACATTTTGTGGTCCTCCTGTGGCAGCCATTTTATGATTGGCTCCACCTCCTGTGGCAGCCATGTTGTGATAGTGCCCACAACTCTGTGTTAGAATTCCAAAGGTGCCTGCAGGCTCAAAAAGGGTTGGTGACCCCTGGTGTAAACTGCAGACTTGTGACATGCCACACTGAGGTTATGTGTGCACCCATTTCAGTGGCTGGCATTTTAATAGGGAAGAATCACTGGTCTGAATTTTTTTAATGCGATGGGGGAGGTACTCAGAGAAGTAGGAAGGGACTGAAGTGGGTCGGGCGTGAGCAAAGAGAGGAGCTTCTTGGGGGGGGGGGAAACTATATTTATTTAGAGTGTGTGTACAAAGGTTTCCTTCCCAGTGGGGACCAAAAGCTACTTATGATATCATCCTTTGTACACTTTGTATTTATATTGTTTTATTTGTGTGGTTAAATATTTGTGTAATTTTAATGTATTTATGTTTTTATGAAAGCCACCCTGAGCCCGCTTTGCGGGGAGGGCGGGGTATAAATTTGATAATAAATAAATAAATAAATAAATAAAATCATTCTCCCCTATATTTTTTATCCTTGCAACAACAACCCTGTGAGGCAGGTTAAGCTGAAAGTGTGTGACTGGCCCCATGAATTTCTGTGGCAAAGTGGAGAGTCAAACTTGGGTCACCTGGATCCTCGTTTGATACTCTTAGCCACTTCACTACACTGGCTCTGTGTCTGGGTGGGAAAAGGCAGATCTCTTTGCTGTTTGTGATTCTCTGGTCCTACCCAACATGTAGTTCTTCATCTGTTTTAGCAGTTCAACTGGTTTTGTGTACAGCTGATTTTTGGCAGACATGAACATGTGAAACTGAAAACATGTGCACTGGAAAGTACCAGGAGGCTGAAATGAAGCTGTAAACCAACCTTCCTACAGGCATTTAAAGCTGCCTTACGGGTTTTCCGCATGCAGACACTAATGGAGGCAGAGGACTAAGAAATTCTTTAAGTGGCACACATGAACTTAAAGTTGCCTTATATATCTGTGTTTGGTTGAGTTGGCAAGGGAGACAGACAATGCCAGGCATATGCAGCTGAGGATCAGAAAGTGGAGTGGGTGGGACTTCAGCTTCAGCTTCCTTAGCTTCATATGCTGGGAGGGAGAGAATCTTCTTTCTAACCCTTATGGCTAAAAAATAAAAGTTTGCAAGCTTATGGGCAACACCAACTAAAATCACTGACTTTTGAGGGGCAGTTGAACAAGATTTCCAGTAGCTAGTAACTGAGTTTTGGTGACTAGCAACTTGGTCCTTCCCCCCTCCAGGACTTTCAGAGCCAAAATAAATTAAGATAAATGGTGCCGATTTGTACAGTCCTCAGAATTCTTTCTCCTAGTGCAGGACTTTTAAACTTTTTTTAGCTTGAGATAGGTACTTTCCAAATAAGGACTTAACACCTTCTGGTGAATTTTCCTAAACTTATAATATAAAAACAGAGATTGTATTTTTCTATGAAACTCAATTATATTTTTCATGTGATATATGAAATATGTATTGCACTGGTTCATTAATATATATTTATAATTTATAAAATGTATCATTAGTTAGTTTGTCACCGTTTAATTTTATTTGGCATAGATGTTTCCGTGGTTCTCTGTTTTTGTTTGGTTTATGTCTTCTGAAGTGGAGCAGGAATCAACTGGGGTGCAGGTTCTTACTTTTGGGTTAATTCTTGTGTTGCTTCTTCTACAGTTGCAGGATATGTGAGGTCCTCTTTCTCCTAGCTGTTTTTATGGGGTCTTGGCAGTCTCTGCAGTCTAGTTCCCTCTCACCTAAGTGCCTGGCAGAAGATGAGAATGATTTTCTGGACAGCAGGGATCGGGAGGAAGACATTGCCAAATTCCCTTATGTGGAATTCACTGGGCGAGACAGCATCACCTGCCCCACTTGCCAGGGCAGTGGCTACATCCCCACAGGTAAAGCAATCTGTGTAGCGTTTGTCTGTCCTCTTCATCTTAGTGGAGGGGTGTGTGTATGTGAGAGAGAGTGAGTTAAGATCCAGGCTATACATGTTACTAGAAGTCAGTAATGTGAATTGGGGGGTACATGGGGGGAGGGAAAATATCTGGATCAGGGCTATGGTGCTGTGTTTTTTAAACTCTACAGCTACTTGTCTCTTCCCACACACTAGTGTTTAAAGCAAAGTGAGGTGGTATTATTTAGCTGGGAAAAGCGTCTCTGTAATGATTCCTTGTTTTGTATGTGTGTGTGTCTCTTTAAAAGTTTGGTTGCATGGCTGTGTGATGGACTAGAGTGCTTGAAGAGACAAGTGTGGTGTGATTGGTGATTGACAGAGAGGAGGAGGGGTTTAGAAAGTGTTTCTGAGTGGATGAATGGGTATGTCAGAGGTTGACAGAGGTTGGACAGTTGATAAAGACAGTTGTTAAGTTAGTTCGTTCTGAGGTCTGGAGAGAGACAGTCTTGTGTGTGATACAAGAGTTAAGTTCTGTGTATGAAGAAAAGTAGAAAGTAAAGTCAAAAAGTTAAATGAAAGTCTGAGTGACAGACTGGAGTGAAATAGGAACCATATATGACCCTGAGTAATGAGTTACAAAGTTACTTGAAAAATCCCTGTCAGAAAGGGAGCAGATCTTGTGAGACACAACGAAATTGTTAAAATTATTCACATTACTGGTTACATTGTTCTACACTTTTGTTTATGAACTGTTTCAATAAATCTTTTTTTATTTAAGTCTGCCAGCTCTGAAAGAAATAATTTCTCAGGAAACACATAGACCCTCATGAGACTTAAAAACTCGACTTATCTATCCAGTGATAGCCAAAAGAAAGTATAAAGGTTTGGAAAGCCTAAAATTTCCTGGTGGCAGCCTAACCTACCCAGTTGAACAAAATAAAAAGAACACTTTAAAGTGAAAACAGGCCTCCCCAGATAAGGGGTCGTCACAGTCTCCAATTCTACTATATAACATGTGATCTGTATCTTCCACCCTCCTCCACAGTTATGTACCTATTGCCACTGTAAACGTAGTTAAATTTTCAAAAGCACTAGCAGCTCCACACTGAGTGCGTGGAAGGAAGAGGGGAAATTCCAGGTGTCACATTTCCCCCTTTCATCACTAGAGTATTTTTTCTTAAAAATTGGTAGTGGGTTTATTGCTATAGCAGCATTGCACTATAGGCATATTGCTATAGCATAATAATGCTATAGCAGTATACCTGCTACCAATTTTTTGAAGCATGGGGGACGAGGGGAAATGGTGCTGGATGGGGGGGCAGGTGCAGGGATTTGCACTTTCCCATCCCCACAGGTCCCAACCCCCTTCAAGTGCTGCCTTCCTAAAAGATTGTATCAAAGTAAATTTAGTAAAACATGCCTTGAAGCAAGAAATACTTGCAATGTGGACAACTGAAGCGCAATATCATGTGCAAGACAAAAAAAAATCCCCACAGCACCACTGCAGTTTCAGGCTCCCAGTTTTGGGGGGGGGGGGGGGGGGACAGAAAGCAAAATCTCCATATGGAAGCAACCAAAGTCTCATACAATAGGAAACAGCCCCATAGCTAGCAACTTTTTGCTCGGGGGGGGGCTAAGTTTTTCTCAGGGGGCTTCCCTCCCCAGGCAGCCCCAGTGCCCCTTCCCATGGTGCAGTGCCAGGGGCAGCCTGACCTCTACCCTCGGCTCCTTCCCAGGGCCAGGAGAGGCGAGGTGCATGGTGGCCGGCCTGGCCATGGAAGTGTGTGGGCTCATTGGCGTGCCAGAGCACAGCCGTGTATACCTGGCCAGGGCCACAGGAGGTGCCCACCTGGCTCCTCACCTTGCCTGCTGGTGGGCGATGCGGTGAGTGTCTGGTGGCAACCCGAGAAGGAGGCTTCTCACCCTCCCACCATTCATGCTCGCTTCCTGTCTGGGCCGCTCTCTCAGCCCCACCTCACTGCCACTGGTGCTGCTTGTGCTGCCACCTCCAACATCACCACCCTCATTCTCCCTGCTGACATGCTGACAGGCAGTCGGGGTGATCTTGCTTGTTGCACCCCCTAAAGTTGGCTGTTGATTCCAACAACCGAAATCTATCTAGAGAACCAGACCATGGAATTCTGGGCTATGTGCCTCTTAACTGGCTTCAGCCATTCTGGTTTCCTTCTTCAGTTTATCCACGTTAAGTTTCCTCTGTCCTTCCCCGGAGCTATGTGCTGTTACCTTATAGAATTCTGTAAATGTTATGGTCCCGTGAGAACTTGCTTATAACTGGTCACTCCACAGGTAGCGTCCTGCAGAGTTTACATTGTTTGTAGTGAGAGAGAGTCATCCTCTGCCCCTCTGAATTGCCAATCCTGTGGCTTAGAGGGTAGATTGATGGGTTGGAGTCTGGATTCTGGTCCCATCTCAGCAGAGTTCATGTCCTTTCCCCTCTTTTCCCATCAGTTTTGCTTAAACTGAAAGTCTAGTAAGCTGGACATCGAACCATCCAGATCACTTAATGTTACTGTTTCCCAAGACCAGTAGCTATACTATACCCTCCTTTAGTTTGGATTGGGGTCAAGTAAACTTTACATGGTGGACAAGATAAAAAAGCCCTCTGATTATTCATTTGTTCAGACCTACATCACAGGGATACCTTACTGGGATTTGCTGTAAATTATTGGGGATTGGTTGTATGGAGACTTGTATTTCTGTGTTCTCAAGTTCTTTTAGACAAAATATCACTGCATCGCTGTAAACTGGTGATTCTCGCAACAGCACTGAGAGCATCCAATTTATTTTATTTTATAATTTCGTTTATACTCGGCCTTTCTCTGAAATGGGGACGCAAAGCGGTTTTCTTCATTTTCCTCTCCTCCCTTCAGTCATCACAACAGCCCCATGAAGTAGGTTAGGCTGTGAGTGTGGGGCTGGCCCGAGGTCACCCAGCAAGTTTCCATAGCAGAGAAGGGATTCTGTTTTAACACTCTAACCACTATACTGCACAGGCTCCTAAAAATAATAAAATTGACCTGCAACATTGAAAGCATCTGATACTGGCAGCTTCTGTTTTTTCTCTCTCCTTAGAGCAAGTTAATGAACTGGTGGCTCTAATACCCTATCATGACCAGAGGTTAAAGCCTCGGAGGACGTAAGTACAAAAGAACCATCTCTCCTTATTATAATCGAGTAGTCGGTGCCAAAATTCTAAAATGCGCCCCCTTAGTGTTTGGACGGAAAAAATGCCACTCAGAAGATGCTACCTGCCATTGGCTGGGTGGCTGGGAGGGGAGGGAGCCAGTCATGCAGCCAGCGTCTTCTGAGCGGCCATTGTTCCCGACAAACAGTAAGGAGCCCATTCAGCCCAGCGGCGAACGGAGCCGGTAGGCTCCGTCCACCGGCTTTCCCCCCCCCAAACACCCACTCCAGGCCGGCGGAGCGGCAGGTAAGGAGCCCATTCAGCCCAGCGGCGAACGGAGCCGGTAGGCTCCGTCCACCGGCTTTCCCCCCCCCAAACACCCACTCCAGGCCGGCGGAGCGGCAGG